TTTGTTTTATATTTTAAATTATATTAAATTTTAAAATTAAAGTATCAAAATTGGTATTTAACTTTAAAAAAATACTCTGATACAAAAACTTAAAAAAAAAAAATTGAAAGGACAAAGTAAAGAAAGTCCAAATCCAAGAGGACCCATGCGTGGACCGTAACTCGTAGTCAACACGATATGGAAGTTTCCTACCAAGAAACTAGCATATACATACAAAAAAGGTTTTATTTTAGTCAAAGTCAAGGTTCTCTGGTCTCAACGTAGAGTAGGTGCTGATTAACCATTGCCACCGAAAGCAGATGCTGATTGGCCATTGCCACCGCTTCACGTGTATTGAAATTGGACTAATAGAAGGTGATAGAGGAAATCAATCAATTCTATGGTTTGACGGACAATAAAAGAAATTGATTAATTTCATTAATTTATTACATGTTGAGAAAATTTTATTGATTATTTTATTGAGTTATTTTTTTTATCAAACTAAGTGATTTATTTTATATTGAATCTATAATTTTTCTAAAGTTGGAATTTATGATTTAATAGATTTTAAAATATTATAATTTTTAAATTTTAAAAAATTAAATGCTTGATTACTGAATAATATTATGAATTGTTTTTTTTTAATGAAATTAGTGCCTAATTTTTAAAATTTTCTCAGAATTAAAAGTTTTATATTTGCATTTCATTTTAGCCAACTAAGTTTTTCTTACTGTGTTGAATGCATGCATTTAATTATTTGTAAATTGAATTAATTTAATTTATTTAAATATTTTGAAAACAATCAGTGTAGTAATTGAAAGTTTGAGTTCAACGATTCAGCTTGAAATTTTAGAACTTTTAGCTTACTTAGAATTTTAGGTTCATTTGAGTCTGTTCTTTCATTTAAGTCTACTCTTTACTATTCTTTACTATTCTTCATTTAACTTTTTTTTTTTAAAGAAATTACATACGAAATAACCCTTAAAGCAAGTTTCAATTTGAAAATTTCCTACCACGGAAGTAACATATAAAAATGTTATTTTCTCTTAACCAAAGTCAAGGTTATCTTGTCTTAAGATTGGTGCTGATTAGCTATTGCCCCGCTGCACACGGACTTGAAATCTCCATGGAAATTTATTGGTTTTGCTCGGATTTGGAGTGACAGTGACCATGTTGGAGAGTGATTTGCCCATTGCGAAGATAATTAGTGGTACCTTACATGTTTAATATTTTTTGAAATTAAAAAAAAAAAATTTATTAA